CCCCAAAACCCCAAAACCCCAAAACCCCAAAACCCCAGTAAAGTGTAACAACATTGAATTAACTAGTTAGTAAAACCTTGGATTTTAACTTTTTTAAAGCCGTACTTTTTCAGTTGCCTCTTCACATCCATTTCGTCAATCTCACATGATTCTAAATTAATCTGACGCAAGCTAAGAAGTATGTCGGTTTGCGAAAGTCCATGTATAAGATTTTCAAATTGGTACAGGTTGTGAGCCCAATCACTAAATTTTGAATGCCCACAAAACTCGAAATTGAGATTCCTTATACCACATCCCTTCAGGGCTTTATCCAGGTTCGGAACTGTAGGTGTCATTATTTTTCACTTCTTGAGCATGAATCCTTTGATGAACCTGTAAGCATATAGAAGCTTCTTTAACTGTACTTCATTGATGGAGAAATTTCATAAGTGGACTTCTTTTATTACTCTATGACTAACACTGGTAACGTCTTTAAGGTAGAAGCTAATATCAAGCAAGCGGTCATTCCTTCCATTAAATCTGAATCTCTTTGCCTTGACTGGAAATCAGTTCTTTAGCCACATCTTACTCCTTCTATTAAGAGCTGGCACATTGTCAATAAAGAAGTTGGATGAGCCAGCTTGGGTTAAGGTGGAACTTTGTTCTAAATATTTATTTCTCATTCTTATTAGTAAAATAAAGATAGTTGATATTTCTGCCTTCGCACATATATCCGCTAACTATCCTGATATAAAGCTTTGTGCACATGTCAGTGTCAAGCTTCAAGGACTCAGAATGAATCTCTTCTTCAAAGCTCAGCTTCTTGGTTGTCTCAATAGGAAGACCTGATCCATCAGATGCTTTTAGCATCAACATACTTTCTTCGGCCTTCGACATAATTTTATGGCATCTTTGATAAAGAGTACTGACAGTAACACCCATATCAATGTATCTTATCTTGTAGTCATCAGGGTGTGCTCCTTGGTACTTCCATTTAGAGCGTTCCATGTGCTCGTTGATAGTTCCAAGCACTCCGTTGATTTGAGAGACTCTTATTGGGTAGTCAGGACCTACAAGTTCGGTGTACAGTTCTAATGCTCTCTGAGTTTGAACAGTTAATGTCTCATAGAACGCTAATTCTTCGAAATCTTTAGTCAGCTGAAGAGGCCCCTGGGTGGATAAAGACCTCTTACTATGACAGCTACTTTTTTTGTCCAAAACGACATCACTTTTTTTGCCAATTTTAGGCAGTACTGAACGGCTCTGGGATGATCCCATATTAGATCAAATGTTTTTCAATATTATTTGATACCTGAGGGGTTTTGGGGTTTTGGGGTTTTGGGGTTTTGGGGTTTTGGGG